CTGAAAACAACCCTGCACACTTATGGATAAAGATCCTAAGGCACTAAATTACACTAGATTGGTTCTCAGATCTGAATGTAGCAAGTCCATAGCAGAGTGAGGAATGTACCTTATTGAAGCAACATATTATGGTGTCAGGTAAAATTAACTAGATTGCACCCATCGTTTGATACATAGGCAATAGCAAGCACCGAGGTGTGTGATTTTTACTGAATGACTTAAACCAATCAAGAGGTGGAGGCCTCATGTTAACAGTGCTTCTGGTAGTAGTGTTTAAATTGAATTTGCTAAAGGCGTTTCAGTTTAAAAAAGGGTGCCGGGGTGTTTAAAGCTTGGCATGTTTTAACTATATTGCCTCTTAAAGAGGATTTTGGCATACAAGGCTCTAAAAATGGGTAAGCCTCATCCTGCAAACAGTTACCCACAGAAACAATCCCATTATAGCCCATAGAGCTACCTCCCTGGGTAAAAAGTCTCTCAAATTGGGGCCTTCAAGTATCACCTGCTTCCCAAGAACATTGTAACACGTGTTGAACCTGACCCTTTTAAATGCAGAGAGCCTGCTCTTAAGCACAAAGTTTATTCAAGCACATGAGTATTTGCAGGACCGGGGCTAATGTCTGCAAAACCCAAATTATTATAATACTGATTGTATTATTACAAATAACCTTTACTTGGCTCAGAGCTTGCTAGGCACTGAAGGCAGCTGGCTCTGTCTCTCTGTGAGTGTGAGGTTGGAATATCAAAATCAAGGTACAGGTGAAGTCTGAAGAGCAGTCTCTTTTGAGCTCTTCTTTTTGTGCTGATCCAACATCTGTTCCCGTGGAAACTGTAACCAGAAGCCTGTAGCTGAGAGCAGGAGTTCTTGTTAGTTTCAGTTGCTGGCTTCCAGTCCCCATTTAGACCTATGTTTCCATAGAAATGGACATCAGAAAGGTGAAGACAGGCTAAGGGTTATAAAATATAGCTGGAGAAAGCTTGATATGGAGAGAATGTGTCTGATTCTTAGAGCAAGGATTGTGGCTGTGTTTGGATTCAGTCTCCTGGGGTTTGTTTCCAGCTGTGCAACAGACTTGTTGCGTGACCTTGGTCAAGCCACTTAACTTACCTTTGTCTCAGATTCTCCAACTATATTAAGAGTCAGTTGCTCAGACCTCCCTCAAAAAAAATAAAAAAGTGGCGTGAGATTGAATTCAAGCTCAGAATAGGGCTTTGAGTCCCACTGCGGAACTGCAAAGGAATACTTTTCATTGCTCTACCTTATTTCTATGGAACCTAAAGGGGGAGGGAGAAAACAAAGTGCTGCAAAGACACCGAGCAGCCAGGCAGCAAAAAGTGAAATCATAAGCCTTAGGTCCTAGTGTCCTGCTGGGATCTGCAATTCCCGTTTCAGAATTCAGCAACTGGACGCTGGTGAAAGTTGGGCTTCCAGAGGCGGCAGGGATCTGGCCCTGAATTATTTAAAATAGTAGCAAGCCAAGCCAGGGAAACCCTTCCCATTAAGCCCAGGTCTCCAGAGTAGGCTTTTCTAGTCTGCTGTCTAAATGGACATTAAAGTCTTGCATTTCCTCACATGGGGTGAATGCAATGATCTCAGGGAGGGGGCTGCTGCCTGGCGGACGATTTTCTTGGACACATGCACGGTCTGACTGCTTGCCAGCCAATTAACATCCTCCTCCTGCCATGCTCTGAAGTTTCACCAGCATGAAAGCCCCCTCGAAAGCCTGGAGCCAGCCCCCCAGGAGGTCAGGATTTTTATTAGGTGGCTCAGTCTGAGCAAAATTGACGGCTCAAGGGATGCAAAAGAAAGCACAAGGTTTGCCAAGCCCTGGTGTGGCTGAGGGCTCTGTGATAGCTGACAGGCCATAAAGGAGCGGGTTCTGGCTTGCGCAGCTTGGAGGCACTTGGGACAGTGGGAAATGAAGGGTCAGGGTGAAATGATTGATGTGCTGAAGCCCTTTCCCATCACTGCCTGGGACGCTCTGCACATAAAGCTGTATCTAGCTCCCTTGTGATAAGCGCATTTGCAGGTGACTGGGGTCAAATTTCCCAATGCAACAGACATCAACCATAAATTCATATTTTTCACACCTCCTCTCCGAGGCTTGGGGAGGATCTTGGTGTTGAAAACAGGGCTGGCTCCCTCCCAACCCAGCCTGTCGATCTGCTTGGGTTTGCAGTGAAGTCATCATGTTGAATTTGGCACATCACTCCAATTCCCCTGGCAACGCCTGATGTCACAGACAGGCTTCTGACTTCACTGCAGCATCCAGCAGTAGGGGAAGCTGGGCAGCCAGGGAGAAAGCTCTTATTTTAGCAGATGCAGGGGAGAATAGGAGATAGAGTACCAAGAACTACCTCCAAGGTTTATGTGGTCTTTGTTAAAGTTGATTCCTTTGTAAAAGCTTTGTTTTAATTGGGGGGGGGGTGTCAATGTTTCAAGAGAAAACATCACACTTAGGATGATGGTGTTTGAGAAACTGGGCTCTCTTCTCCCTCCCACTGCTGCTTTTCACATTTGCTGCTTGTTGTTGACTGACATTCCTACCATGGGTGGGGAAAATGTCCACTCTCACTGCCTCTCCTTCCTGCCCCCATGGCTGGGGGAGGCTGGCAGGAGTGTGTCCTCTGCTAAAAGTAGGAGAAAGAGCTCCTATCTCTGACCCAAACTTGGAAGGAGGAATACTGTTGCCTCTCTCTTCAGGTCTCCCTCTTGCTTGGGTTGGTGCTAGTGGCTCTCCCCAAACTACATGGTGGGGTTTTGCTTGCTGAAGAACCATTCATCACTGGCTTTTCCAGTCCACTGGCTGCAACTAAGGTTTCCTACATGCACTTCCAAAAAAAAAAAAAATTAAAAAAATATATATATTACTTACTGGCACCATAAATAAACCCGCCTACTGCAAGTGACCTCCACCTACCAGATGTGGCCCCTAAACATATGCCACCCTTTCACTCCTCCAAGGACCTTCCCAGGCAACTTGCTTTTGGTGGGGACCCATGGATGTCCATCTTGATTACTGAGGGGGGGGGTTAGAATAAATTGTCACCGCTTGCGTTAGCACTACCATACGTGACAGTGCTGGACTTGTACTTGGATGCCCTGCTGGGCTGGTGGGGGGCAGAAATATTCTCTTGGGAGGAGTTATATTTTGTCTATTAAATCACACGGGGAGTCCCCACCCAAATGGCACAACCAGCCCAGATCGTAATAGCCATTTTACAAGTCCGGGGCAGGGAAGACACTGTTCAAACAAGGTGGTTAGTAAGTGGCAGCCAGCTGGGCTCTGCGATTCCTGCCCAAAGCTTTGAGGAAGCTTGTACCAACAACTGCAGCAAACTAACTTCATTACCCCTGGCTCCCAGGAACTTGCGTTAGTCCTGCTACCAAGCAAAAAGATGACTGGAAACCCCCCTTTTAAAAAATAAAATATATAATTGCATGTAGCTTGTGCCGGGCGCCCCTCCCCCTTCCCTCTTGCTGCTTTGACGACTGGCACGTGCACCCACTCCTGTCCAACGTGGGAGTTTCCCCGGCAGGCTCCCCTGGAGCCGTACCTTGCCCACCGAGCCGCCCTCGCCCTCGCCCCGCGGGGAACAGGCTTAAGTCAAGGAGGAGGGCGCGCAACGCTTGGGGCTGGATCTTTTTTCTCCCCTTGGAAGATCCTTGTCTTCAGAGAGTGTGTGTGGGGGGGGGATGTGTGAGAGACTATGTGAGACAGTGAGTGTGTGTGAAGGTGAGTGTGAGACTGAGTGTGAGGTGTGTGTGTGTGAGATAGTGAGTGTGTGAGGGATGTGTGAGTATGCAAGACAGTAGGTGTGTGTGAGAATAAGTGTGAGTGTGTGTGTGGGGGGTGCGAGTGTGACAGTGGGTGTGTGACATTGTGTGAGAGAGAAAGAGACAGTGGGTGTGTGTGAGTGTATGTGTGTGCGGGCGAGGCGTGAGAGACCGTGAGTGCAAGACAAGTGAGTGTGCGGTGCGTGTGCGTGTGCACGGGGGGAGGGGCGGGGGGGGCGGCTGTTTGCCGGAACAGCGGCGAAGGGGGGAGGGAAAAAAAAAAAAAAAAGCCGCCCGGCCCGGGCGGTTCAAGGGCCCCCCCG